TATCTCAAAACCCTAAACCCCAAAACCCAAAACCCTAAACCCTAAGCCCCAAAACCCAAAACCCTAAGCTTTAATCAACTGTCGCTTGAGACCCCAGAGCCCTAACCCAAACCCACCGAAGCATTGGAGCTGCCGCTTTGGCCGAATTGGGGCCTTTTAGGGCTTCCGGGTTTGGGGTTTCCTAAACCCTAAACCCTAAACTAAGGTTTAGGAGTTTAGGGTTCAGGGGTTTAGGGTTTAGGGTTTAGGGTTTAGGGTTTAGGAGTTTAGGGTTCAGGGGTTGCGATTTAGGCTTCAAGCCACTCTGTGCCTTGGTACGAAGCCTTCCAAGAACAGGTGTCTGAGAGATATTCCTATACCACTACCAAGATAGGGACGATGAGGGTATAATGTAGAAGCCTGAATAATTAGAGTAGGGTGTTGGGGTATAATTTATGTACTAGACTATGGACTTTAAATCTAATTAGGTACCCCTCCCCCCCCAAAAAAAAAGAAATAATATAGGAACTTTTCTAGACCTCTACATTGCTACCCACAGGCATCTATGTTACCCCCTATGACCGGAAGCCTGTTTTCGACCGTTAGGTTCAGAGCTTTCGGGATTTAGGGCTTTAGGGTTTAGGGTTTAGGGTGTAGAGCGTACGGTGCTTCAAGGAAAAAGCGGCGCAGGGCTTTAGGGCTCAGTGCTGTAATTGGAGCTTACGAGTTTGGGAGTCACCCTCAACCCTAAACCCTAAATGCTTGGGAGGTTGTGTGGTTTCGGACTCCGGTACCCCAAAACTCAAACCCTCCGTGCAAATAAACACAGAGCCTGAGCCGAAACAGGAACATCCGGGTTTAGGGTTTAGGGGGCAATGTTGGGCACCTATTCCTCCGCCGAAGACAGCAACCAACCCTTCTCATGCACGGTTTGATGAAACTGCTATACTCGCGACTTTACGGGGATACTATTGCTAATGACTCCGACCTAGTACATGTTAGGATTTAGGATTTCGAACCGGGTACATAGATGCAAAGCCATCGGAGTAGTCCCGTGTGAAAGCCGGGATCACGGCCTTTTGCAGAGGGGTGCGGCAGCGGGTTCCTGGCGGACAGGAACGCAAAATCTTTGTATACAGTATAATTTTGCGAATCAGGTTTTGCACTGCATGTGTCCATGCGAAAAATGTAGGCAAACAGCACATACACAAATATGTGTGTACATAGTTATCATGTCGAATGAAATCAAACATATGTGTGCGCACATAACGTCTGAAGCGTGGCCAATGACGTATGACGTCACGTGGCATACTTGGCAGTTGTACCGTGCAACGTCGTGGATGTGGTGCGGAGTCGATCATCCATGCTTTCAGAACCTCAAGCCTCGAAAAGAGAAACACACACACACAACACACACACACATAACAAAACAACTGATGTGTGTGTGTCGCTGTACAACATGCACTACACCCACAAGTGCACCAGACGATAAACATCTGGCGCTCTGCGTCGCTGAGCAAGCCAGTCCCCTGACTCCCAAAACCCCAAACCCCCACATTTAGTTTTTCACCTCCAAGTCCTGAACTATAGAACATCCTTGCCGTTCTCAAGACCCTTCCAAAAGCCTAGCCTCCCTAAACTCCCTAAAGCTTGCACCCCACCAGCACCCCCCAACTACCCTCTAATAAACCCCAAATACCCACTATTGAGGACCATAAGGGCTCCATTAAAGGGTACTTGGACGGTGCTGGCACCTAAACCCTAAACCCTAAACCCTAAAACCTAAACCCTGGCCTCCCTAAGCTCCCTAAAGCTTGCACCCCACGGCCCGCCTGATTCTAAATTGATGGCCGCCAGGCATTTCGCGGCTTCGGCCCAATCCTTGGACCCAAAGGGACCTATGTAGTAGAAAGTAGGGTTTAGGGTTTAGGGTTTAGGGGTTTAGGGTTTAGGGTTTAGGGGTTAGGGTTTAGGGTTTAGGGTTTAGGGTTTAGGGTTTAGGGGTTTAGGGTTGTTTAGGGGTNNGGGTTTAGGGTTTCTGATTCGATAGTCGGAACTACTCGTATGGTTTGGGGAAGTACTCCCCCATATCGAACTACTCTTATAGTAAAATTTAGGGTTTCTTTGCAGTGGTCCCATCTGGCCACGTTACAGTAGGGTGTGAACAGGCTTTGTCAGGTCTTTGCAAGGAGTTTGCTGGACTCCCTCGAGTCTTCCTTTTGGTATGAAGTTAACCCCCCCAAACAAACTGCAATGGAGACTATAACCCCGAACCCTGTATAGAACCCATATAGATCCCTGATAGAACCCTTAATAGGAAACCCCTAAACCCTTAACCCTAAA